TCTTATTCAAACTTTTTCGTTATTACATTCTGGAAACATAAGGAATTAAGAAAGGAAAAGTTTTTTGCTTCAAAGAATTTTTTTCCTCTTGTTTCTTTCTTTTCTGCTGAAAGTGCAAACAATTTTGGTATGCAAGTGAAAATATTTTCCTTCTTGTGTTTTCGGGATTAAAAAACTACAGAAAAAAATTACAAACTTTGCAAACAAATTTTTTGTTGTTGTTAAAGTTATTCCTTCCTCGTATGCTTACTTGCTTGTTTTCATAAGAATTTCTTAAAAATCATAATAATAGTGTTTTCGCGTTGAAATGTTTTTAGATGTAATGGTTGTAATGTAAAAAACAACACAAATTTTTTTTTATTTTTCGAATTTCAAAATTACTGAGAATGTAGTTTTAGATTTTTTTATTAAAAGTTTCAAAGGCAGAGTAGAACAACAACAACATTTCCTTCAGTATTATCGACACGTTAAATATAATACTAAAGAACTTGTTGAAATATTTCATGCGCTATCAAATGGACAGCAATAATTTTCAATTTCAATTTAAACTTGCTCAACTTGCCATAACAAACATAATTTCATCTTGTGAATGCTGATCGTTACAAACTTTTCATTCTTCGCAAAAGTAAAAAAAAACCAAGGGTCAGACACTCCAACAGAATTGTAAGGATTGTACAATCCTTACAATCCTTCCATACGAATTGTAAGGATTGTACAATCCTTACAATCCCCCCAATCCTTTTCATATATGGATTGTAAGGATTGTACAATTCCTACAATCTTTCTATATAAGGATTGTAAAGATTGTAAAATCCTTACTAAACAAAAATAATGTTCATTTATTTTTAAAAAATAAAATAAAATACGAAAAATGAAGAAAAACAGTCAGAAATTTTTTAAGAAAAATTATATTGAAAATTACGGAGTTGCTAATGGAGTCACATATTGTTATGATGTATATATCTATATATTCTTATATTTTATACCTGCACAATATATAGGAACACACAATACTTTACTGTGAATCAATTCGAATGATTTTTTATACATTTTAACTTATTAAAAAGTTGTAAAATGTATAATTTTTACACCTGTGACCAGGATGGGTGATTTGAATCAAAAATCAAAATCATAATCTTTTTGAAATGAATTTTAAAAGGGATTTTGATTTAAATCAGTTTTGTATGGGGGTTTTTTTGGATTTTGATTTAAATCTCTTGTTTGAAAGATTTTATTGGGATTTTAAAATCCCTCCATGCAAAATTTTTGTATTCAATTTCTCAAATTATTTTTCAAATCAACAGTTTTCAGTTGCAGTTCCTAATAAGTAAGAATGTAGTTGATACTTTTTTGGCCAGAATCTTGCAACTGGATCTTTTAGATTCAAACATTTCTTAAAGAAAGTTTACAGCAACCAATGGTTCCATGCTGTTTGACTTAAACGAAATCCTTTTCATGATTTTTAATCTTCTGTGCCTTGCTGCTTACACATAAATAACTGGACTTCATCAAGCATGCCTGGATCTTACTGCATATGAGGATGCTGCATAAGGAACAGGCCAGTTCCGCAAAAAATTTTGACTTCAAGAGGTGATTCCTTGATGAAAAAGCAACAAAAAAAAATTTTTTGTGGATGTAAAGGAACTAGGCAGTTCAAGTGCCTATTCTTGCTTATGACTCATTAAACTAACGTAGATTACTTTGGTACTGTAATAAAATATATTTTACTTTTAAAAAGCATTGAAAGCAGGTAGTTCCTCATATGCAGTAAGATCCAGGCATGCTTGATGAAGTCCAGTTATTTATGTGTAAGCAGCAAGGCACAGAAGATTAAAAATCATGAAAAGGATTTCGTTTAAGTCAAACAGCATGGAACCATTGGTTGCTGTAAACTTTCTTTAAGAAATGTTTGAATCTAAAAGATCCAGTTGCAAGATTCTGGCCAAAAAAGTATCAACTACATTCTTACTTATTAGGAACTGCAACTGAAAACTGTTGATTTGAAAAATAATTTGAGAAATTGAATACAAAAATTTTGCATGGAGTGATCTTAAAATCCCAATAAAATCTTTCAAACAAGAGATTTAAATCAAAATCCAAAAAAATCCCTTTGAAAAATCATTGCAAAAAGGTTTTGATTTTTGATTTAAATCACCCACCCTGTATTTCCATTGTTTCGTTCTTTAAATTCAAACAAATAGATTTTTAATATTAAGTTAATATTTCTTCTTTAATAACCTATGAAAAACATTTTTAAGTGTTCCATACAATTATTTCATCCCTACAATCCTTATATGGAAAGGATTGTAAGGATTACAATCCCTACAATCTTTTCCATATAAGGATTGTAAGGATTACAATCCCTACAATCCTTCTCATATAAAGATTGTAAGGATTGTAAGGATTGTACAATCTTTACAATCCTTCCATATGGATTGTGAAGAATTGTACAATCTTTTACAATTCTGTTGGAGTGTCTGACCCTTGAAAAAAACACACAAAATTCTTTTCACTTCTTTCGAATGAAAATAATAAAAGGAAGCTTAAGGAAGCAAGCAGTAAAACAGCACAAGCAATGAGCAAGTAACACAGAGGAGAAAGAAATATTTTCTTTATTGCCGCGCTTTACACATTTCTCATGTTTAACTGAGAAAGGAAAGAAGAAATGAGCAAAAATATTTTCATGTTTTTGATTTCGTTACTGGAATAATGAGTTTAATATTGTCACCATATTTCAAATTGTGAGTTCTTACAATTCTGTTTTCTTATTATTTGTGTTTCAGTATTTCTTTTAATTTCAATCTTAAACATTTCCTTCTGATTCTCAAAAAAAAAAGTCTTTTCTTTTCAATTGATTCAATAGTTTGTCTGTCTTGAGACACGAACGGCTGATGATGTTGACAAAAACGGCAGAAAAAGTTAAATGATTTTTTTCCCTCCTGTTCTGATACTTTACAGTGAAATAATAAAAAGGAAAGCCACACGAAGAAATATCTACTCGATTTCATTTACGATTGATTTATGTACATTAAGGCTTATTTTGAAAGAAGAAAAACGACGATGAACGGTAAGGAAATGAAATGAAATGCTTCACACACAGAAATCGTATGTATGTTAAGGGAATCAGCAGCATGTCTCCCTTTACAAGACAAGGCATATAGAACAGAGAAAAAGGCGAAGCACATCGAAGTGGAGAGACATTTATATCTTGAATCTTGAGAATTTATTAGCTACTTTACTATCATTTTGCCTTCTTCTTGATATTACATGATACTTGCTTCAATGCCATTGCTCCTAAAGGCAACTACATTGTAGTATGTATTTATATCAATGTAAGTATATTTTTTGCATAATATGAAAAAAGATGTGAAAATATACATATGTGTGATATAAAAAGGCAGATACAAGACAAAAATACGGAAGGGCAGCATATTTTGAAGCTTTCTGTTTACTGCTGTATTCCATATGTTTCATCATCATCGCTCTATTGTTAACTGATGTGTAATATGAGTTGCTTTTAATGCTTATTTATTTGAATTTTGTCAAAAAAAAGTTGTTTGCATGATATAAAAATATTAGATTTTTGATCAACTTCAAACGTTTATAAATTTTTATTTTTAATGTTCCGCTGTTGCATGACATTCTCTCATTTTTAAATTTTGGTTATTTCACATTCAAGATTTATTTAATTTAATAAAAAATTCATTTTCTTTTTTTTCCACTGCTTATCATTTTTTATGTAACACATTTTGTGTAAATTTGATTATTCCTCATTCTTTTTCGGTATATTTTTTCACTTTTTATTTATAGGCAATGTAATAAAAAGGACAATGAAGAGGAAAATTGAAGAGGATAGCAAAAGACGTAGGAAATTTTCTTTATATTTTCTTATGGTAGAAAAAATTTCATTCACAGGCGATGAAACATGAAGAATTGATGACAATATTTCACAATAAAAATGTTGAATGGGGAATTTTGATAAAGGAACTTCAAATGTGGTAAAAAATTACTTCAGAAGCTCTTATGTCAAAGTTTAATTGTCATTTTACTATTACTACGTTTTTCTTAACTTGCTTTCTTGTTTGTTTGTTTGTTTGTTTGTTTGCAAAAAATTTCAAATCTTGCGATCAATTTTTCGACCACTTCTACTGCTCCAATCGAGCTCAAATTTTTAATGCACATGTATTCCCGGTGACAATACAATATTTTAACACTTTGGAAACACAAAAATGCTTAATTATAGTACAATTTATGTAAAACTTTTTTATATGGGAAAAAATCCAATGTCAATGATATAAAATTTTGATTTGTATTAAATATTATACTTGTGATGCTCTAAAGTCATTTATATGATTCATTATAGTTTAATTAATATTACTAATTATTAATTATACCATAAATTTGAGCAGCTAAAGATATTCTGGTAAGACAAAAAAATTGACATGTAATTTTTTCATGAATATTCGTAAGTGAAAATTTGAATTTTCAAAAAAACCGTTAAGCACAAGTCCGTTACGAATTAATGCAAAATAACTATTAATATGCGATGTGCATTTAGCACACATAGTTTGAGCATAAATTTATGCTGTTTTAAATGTATTGCATTATTTATAACACTTCACCAACTTAATTAAATTGACTTTTCTTTTTATTAACGGCTTGACGTATTTTTGCATAACATATGAATGATATTCATTGAATTTAAATTTGAAAATCCGTTATAAATACGTTACATATAGATTTGATTTGCATCTTTATGTTAAGAATCCACACTTTATGTAGTAGGAATGGTTCGGATAAACACAAAATCTTTACGAGTGATTTTTAATGTACTTTACTAATGAATGCTTTAAAAAAATTAAATTTTATAAAACGAATGAAAAATTTTGAAAGTCGTTACTAATTTCCCATTGAAAACTGGTAATTTATAAACAGTTGAACGCAACGAAGTGAAGTTCAACACACCTGTAACCTATAAACCTACTGTAATCTATAAACAGTTAAACGTAACGAAGTGCAACGAAGTGAAGTTCAACACACCTGTAACCTATAAACCTACTGTAATCTATAAACAGTTGAATGTAACGAAGTGCAGCGAAGTGAAGTTCAACACACCTGTAACCTATAAACCTAATGTAATCTATAAACAGTTGAACGTAACGAAGTGCAACGAAGTGAAGTTCAACACACCTGTAACCTATAAACCTACTGTGATCTATAAACAGTTGAACGTAAAGAAGTGCAACGAAGTGAAGTTCAACACACCTGTAACCTATAAACCTACTCTAATCTATAAACAGTTGAACGTAACGAAGTGCAACGAAGTGGAGTTAAACACACCTGTAACCTATGAACCTACTGTAATCTATAAACAGTTGAACGTAACGAAGTGCAACGAAGTGAAGTTCAACACACCTGTAACCTATAAACCTACTGTAATCTATAAACAGTTGAACGTAACGAAGTGCAACGAAGTGAAGTTCAACACACCTGTAACCTATAAACCTACTGTAATCTATAAACAGTTGAACGTAACGAAGTGCAGCGAAGTGAAGTTCAACACACCTGTAACCTATAAACCTAATGTAATCTATAAACAGTTGAACGTAACGAAGTGCAACGAAGTGAAGTTCAACACACCTGTAACCTATAAACCTACTGTGATCTATAAACAGTTGAACGTAACGAAGTGCAACGAAGTGAAGTTCAACACACCTGTAACCTATAAACCTACTCTAATCTATAAACAGTTGAACGTAACGAAGTGCAACGAAGTGGAGTTCAACACACCTGTAACCTATGAACCTACTGTAATCTATAAACAGTTGAACGTAACTAAGTGAAGTTCAACACACCTGTAACCTATAAACCTACTGTAATCTATAAACAGTTGAACGTAACGAAGTGCAGCGAAGTGAAGTTCAACACACCTGTAACCTATAAACCTAATGTAATCTATAAACAGTTGAACGTAACGAAGTGCAACGAAGTGAAGTTCAACACACCTGTAACCTATAAACCTACTGTGATCTATAAACAGTTGAACGTAACGAAGTGCAACGAAGTGAAGTTCAACACACCTGTAACCTATAAACCTACTCTAATCTATAAACAGTTGAACGTAACGAAGTGCAACGAAGTGGAGTTCAACACACCTGTAACCTATGAACCTACTGTAATCTATAAACAGTTGAACGTAACGAAGTGCAACGAAGTGAAGTTCAACACACCTGTAACCTATAAACCTACTCTAATCTATAAACAGTTGAACGTAACGAAGCGCAACGAAGTGGAGTTCAACACACCTGTAACCTATGAACCTACTGTAATCTATAAACAGTTGAACGTAACGAAGTGCAACGAAGTGAAGTTCAACACACCTGTAACCTATAAACCTACTGTAATCTATAAACAGTTGAACGTAACGAAGTGAAGTTCAACACACCTGTAACCTATGAACCTACTGTAATCTATAAACAGTTGAACGTAACGAAGTGCAACGAAGTGAAGTTCAACACACCTGTAACCTATAAACCTACTGTAATCTATAAACAGTTGAACGTAACGAAGTGCAACGAAGTGAAGTTCAACACACCTGTAACCTATAAACCTACTGTAATCTATAAACAGTTGAACGTAACGAAGTGAAGTTCAACACACCTGTAACCTATAAACCCCCTATAATCTTTATTTCTCTATTTCATTAGAATAAGACTAAAAAGTAGAAAATAAAATACTTTATAAAAAAAACTTTTTAAAAAAACTACGTTTTTCGCGTAGACTAAAAAGTAGAAAATAACTTTTATTCTTGGTTGTAAAGAATTTGGTTTTAAATTTTCAGATTATATTTAATAAATTTTTATATCCTAGTCAATATTGTTCACAAAGTTTCGAATAAGTGCACTTTGATCTTATCGTATAACTCAACAACTTAAAAACGTGGGCGCATTAATTTAAGTTTATCATAAAGTATTGATTTCACATAAACTTATTTCTCCTCTTATAATGCGCCCACGTTTTTAAGTTGTTGAGTTATACGATAAGATCAAAGTGCACTTATTCGAAACTTTGTGAACAATATTGACTAGGATATAAAAATTTATTAAATATAATCTGAAAATTTAAAACCAAATTCTTTACAACCAAGAATAAAAGTTATTTTCTACTTTTTAGTCTACGCGAAAAACGTAGTTTTTTAAAAAGTTTTTTTTTATAAAGTATTTTTTTGAGCTAGACTTAAAATAATAAAATTGTTCATTTTTTATGGTTTCCATTCAAATTATTAAACTATAAAGAATTGATACTTCAAGGAAGTCAAGGTCTACTTTAGAAAAATATTCATTGACCCAATAAAACTGAAAACCTTACATTCAAAAATATTTGTTTGAAATTTACGAATCCAGAAAAATTGTTCTATGTATGAGAGATAATTTTTCATTTGGGCCTTTTCCATTATCACTTTCATGTGTTGTCTCAGTCATTTTGGTTTATAAATTTTTTATTGTTATTTATTTCGAAATATCTCACTACATCATACGAATATTATGTGTAGGGAGACTCTAAATTCCATTCCATTTACTTAACTTTTCTCATTGTTTGACATTTTTTTATCAATTCTATGTATGGCATGATTGGATAAAATTGTGAGCATTTTCCAAGTATAATTATTGTGTAGTTGGCCATTAGATGCGCATTTATAAAAAAATCCTTAAACATTGAGTTTTTTTTATTTTTAAAATACCTTAATCAAGCTTATATTCTTTGCTAAAGAATTTAGCGTTTTATCTTGGATTTTTCTATTTAAGCTATTTTTATTAAAATGACAATATGTTGAAATCAAAAAAAGCTCACACTTGAAATGCTACAATCAGTATGATGTCTATAAAAATAAGAAAAGCGATAAAGATATTAAGGAGGAGCAATGCTCGCATCTTTCAGATTTTACAAAATTTATGAGTTGAGAAAAGTCGCTCTTATGATTCTTTGCTGCTGTTCCTTTTAAATGGCTAGATGTCAAACTATAATAAAAACTTTTCTTCCTTCCAAATTGAAATTTAATGGTCCGATTCATGAATCTTTGCTCACACATATTTAATATCTTTTGCGATTTCTATATTATAAGAAAAATATTTCTTTTGGCTTGCACAAGATGGAACATTGTACAAGCACAATAACCCAGGATATCTTTTCACAAAAAAAAAAGTTTGTTCTTCCTTTCTTCATGCAAGCCGCACGCTATACATTCTTTCTTTTTTCGCAATGATAAGACTTTTTTGGAAGTTCCATTCGTATATGTGTGTTTATATAATTTATTGAATGTTCTCATGTGAGATTCAAGAGATAAGATGAACTTCAGCTCGGTTTATATTTAGTGTGTTCCTTTTATTTCTTTTAAATTGATCTCACTCCGTCCTTTTGTTATTTATTTACACTGTGTGGGAAGGAAGTTCATGGAAAGTAGGTAGAAAATTGTCGAAATATAAATATTTTATGCGCTGAAAAATAAAACAAAATTATAAGCATTAACTTACAATAATTTCGAAATTTGTTCAATAAAATGAACTGATTTCAAGTAATGTATTTTTAATCAACCTTTGTCAATTTTGTGACTCTTTTTTTGCAAATAATGTATACATAGCTTTATAAACAAGTGCAAACATATATAGAATGTAACTTTATCCTAATCAAAATGAAAGACACTTGTTTTTAAGTCGATTTAGATTGCGACATTTTGATTATTTTAGATTGACATTCTGTCGCCGGTTCTGTTAATTTCAACTTATTTTAAGCTAATACGGTTGGCAGAAAGTTGTCATATGTCTGATATCGATCTTCATGATGTTGTGTATGGATTAATCAAATAAAGAGTGTTAAATTATTTCGAGTCAAAATTTTACTTTTATTGTATCATTTCATAAATAAATCATTAATGCATTTGTGTTTCATTCATCAGTGTTTAACAGAAATCAAAAGCTTGCAAAATATTAGTAACCCATAAGAAAATTTCGAACTTCTTTTTTTTTGTCTTCAAATTCCAGAAGCAATAACTCAAAAACTGTAGTAAGTAGTTGAGTTATTATTATGCGTCATACTTAAATATAATTTTTGTTTATTCGCTTATTTTAAAAGTAATTGTAATTATCAGAACCATCAGCAACCAAATAAACTCATCACCTGATATTCTTGGAATATTAAAGAAGAAGGGATTGTGAATGAGAGTAAAACGAAGTAAGAAACTTAATTATGAAAATTTTGCATGTAGTAATTTACAAAACACTCAACTTTAGTAAATAACAAAGCAATAAGTAGCATGTTTTTAGCGCATTTTTGAAACTTGTTTCTAAAAGGTAGCTAAATAATGCACTTTGTTCGGCTGTTCGGGCGAAGAAAAACTTATTAACCAGACATCGTAGAGAGCTCGAGTTTGTTTTATTAGCTCCGTTACTATCAATTTATCGGCCCATCGAGTGGTTAAATATCTTCAAACCATGTATTTATGCTATGATTAATGATTTTTTTTGTTCCAGTGTAACCTGCCCTAATTTTATTTTACCTCTATAATTTCAACATTACCTCTATAATTTCAAATATTTATTGACCGTTGGAAAATTTGAATTTCAAAAAACAGTTGAATAACATTATTTGTTAATCAAAATATAATTAATGATCTTCTAATCTTCTCATGATCTGTAAGTGATCGCAAAATAATTAGGTAATCAAATACTGATGGCTAAAACAAAAATGCGCTTAAGTCTCTCGATCAATTACACGAGGACTTCTGTAATTTTTTGCTCATTCTTACTCTCATCAGTGCCGATTTTAATTTTTTGCTTCAGACAAAGTTAATGGTTCATGTCGACATTATAGAGTATAAATTTTTCATGTGAATGATGAATTCATAAATAAAACTTAAAACTTTTTTTGAATGATTTTTACAAGATTTTTAAACATTTGATAAAATTTTAATATTTTGTTTTCAAAACTTTTCTCATGCTGTAATCCATATAGAACCCCCTTGAATTCGATTATAATTACTTAAAAGACGAAATGTGATCTTTAACAATTTTTGTTAACTTAAAGAAACCCCCGTTATCAAAGTTAGAAAGAATGCTGAAATAACTTGAGTTAACATTAAACAATTGTTGGTTTTTGTTCATCATCGCACTTCTTTCATCATTTTTGTTTTCCTTTCTTTTCTCTTGCTCTTGTTCCTTTCAACTTTACATTATTATTAAATGTTGTGCTGTATTTAATGTTCATGAGTAATTCTTTCTTTCTTTTTTGCAATCAGTAAGAGATAAAGAAATGAAAATGAGCGATGGGTATTCATAACCTGCGGATAGAAATTTTCTCTCTTTCTTTATATTTACCATCTCTCTTTTTTGAAATAAATTATGGCCTTTTACCACCTTCTCCTCCTCTTATTTCCATTCCTTTATTTTTATCCCAAATGCTTGCACGTATGTACAAGTAATTTCATTTTTATAAAAATCTACAATGATGATAATAATAAGAATAATGATAAAGATAAAGAAAAAGAAGGAAAGCAGTAAAGAAATTAAATGGTCATTCATTGAAGTATATCTTGATAATTCGTGAGTCGAGTGAGGCATAACGGCGATAAAATTTCTTTTCATTATTTCATACATCCACACACAATGATTTTCCCTTATCCCTTATGTTTATTTCAGTCCGAAATTACTTTTTTATGAATCATAAAGATTATACTTTTAAGCTAATTTAATATTTTTTTTTTGCTTAAAAATTATTATAACTAGTCAATTTGATAATTTTCTTGAAATCTGATGAAATTTTTTCAAGAAATTTTTGCAAAATGTTTTCGAACAATCAAGAACATTTTCTTGGCGCGAATCTTCTTTGATAATGAAGAGAAACAATTGATTATATTGCCTTCATTCATTCTTTTCTTTTCTCTCCAATCATATTGTTAAAAGTCGCACATAAACAATTTTATAAGAAAAGAGCTCTTCTTAATATTCGCGATTATTATATCATTTTTTTCCTCTTTTTTTAATCGCAGAGCATAACAATGATAAGGTGTGGCTCGGGCGAAATCACAAAAGAATTAAAATCTTTTCATAAATCGCCCTCGTAGAGGAATCATTATAATGTGCTTTATGATTATTGTTACTGGACATTTTTTTCCTCTTCTTCACGTTGTAACATTTTTGATCAATTTGTATTGTAAATGGTTCTCTGTTTGCAGTTTTCCTGCAATAGTAACGGTACTAAATAGTTTTAATGACTTCAAAAATTATTAATAATCAATTATTTTAGGATACCAGTGTTTTCGGTTCCTTTCTATTAATACGATTAATTTTGATATTATGATAAAGTTTACCTAAACAATTTTACATTCCTTCAAAGTTTCCTTTATATTTATGGAATCAGGACAGGAAAATTTCAATCCTCAAGAGCTAATAAAAACAAATTTTGAGAGTTTAAGTAACATAAAGTCAACAAAACGAAAGAAGAAAGCTTGATGTATAGCTTAAAGGTAGGACACTTAAGATGATGAAGGGTAAAAGAAGGAAACAAAACAAATATTTTTTTTGTTGTTGCAGCGACAGGAGATTGAACATTTATGAATATCATTCTTGAAATATTTTCAATTATTTTGTTTTTTAAAATTTTTCTGAAATTTTAAATCATTCTGACATAAAATTTGTTAATCGTTAATGACTTAAGCATGTTAATAATAAAAAAATAAAATTTTAATTCAACTTTTCCTTAAAAAATCTCATTACACTGCAGATAATTTCTAAATTCATTCACAACAAATTTTGTGTCGCAAAAAGTTGTATTATTCACTTTTTGGTGTTAAAATTGAATATTTTGCAGAGCATAATAGTGAATGAAGAGAAGAAATTAATTTAATTTTACATTCATTCGATTTTTCTCATTTTTGTCATTTTATTGCCTCTTGAGTGGCATTGCTGTCATGTTGGCTTAATTTTTTAAAAATAAAAATGGATCAAAACAAATATGTGGGGGAAATCTTCACCAATAACAGTCACTGTCGATTAAATTTGATGTCATGAATGGACTTAGAATATGATTTTTTTGTTTTACTTTTTTTATTTAAAGATTTGAGCTTCAAAAACATATTTTTTATTAAACTTAAAATTTGTTATGATGTTTGAAGTTTAAGAATTTAAGATTGAAAATTAAAATTGAAATATTTTACATCAAAGATCGAAAGGATTTTTTTTTAAAAAATATGGCGGACAAAAAACTGGGGTTTGAATTGTATTGAAAAATATTTGTTTTATGTTCACCACGCCTCAAATGCTTAAAGGACAAGAAGGTAAAGCATTTAATAAGAGTTATAACGACATGTGCATTTTGCATATACATCGAAATAATGATTTTATTTTTTCCGCGCTTGTAATTTCAGACACTTAAAACAATTAAGAAGAAGTTGCCACTTTGGTATGCTCTTAAAGCACAAAAGGTGCTGGTAAGAACATATTCTAAATCCTTCAATTAAATTCCATATAAATTTTTTATGCACTTTTTCATTCATTTGTTTCCACCAATGAAGAGAACAAAGCCATTCATACTTGTCGTTTCACCCATGCTTTTCTGCCATTACTAAGCCCTCATACATCACATCCACTTTGCATCACTTTACATGTTACTGCTGTTTCCCCTTATACCCAGTAATTTTGCTGAGATTTTTTTTTCATCTTTATCTTGTGTTTTCCTTTTATTTCATTCTTTTAGCCTTGTTATTATAATGTGCTTTTACATCTATTATGTATGCATACACATGAATTTTAGTGGTTCTAAAATCTCGTTGATATTTGCCATACCGGGAACAAAGAATGAATTTTTATGTAAAGCAGAAGTGTGAATAATATGTGGTGAGATCATGAAACCAAATTTCTTTTCATATCTCTAATAAATCCATGTGAGTTTTCATCATTGAATGTATTATCTCGTGTGATAATGTGTTGATGAAGCATGCATGTATGTAAGGAAATATGACAGGTTTATATAAGATTTTCCTTCTTTTCATGTATAAAATATAAAAAAAGTATAAAAGACAGAAGAGAAAGAGAAATATGGAAATGATGTAAATTGAGAGGAAAGCGCGCAATCGGCTTTGTTTTTTTGTATTTATCCCTCTCAATTTGTTCTATACATTACTTCACATTACTTTTACTGTTGGTTTTTTGTTCACATCAATTTTTCTTGATGCTCATGTATATGAAGCATTATACATATACTCGATGATAATGTGTTTGCAGAATAAAAAAAAATATATGAATAACCATTAAATGTGTAGTAATATGGCGGAGATGTAAACATACACACGAATGAATGATGAATAATGGCCTGATGGGTGAAGAAAAGAAAATTCTATTATGATTTTTTTTCAACCCCGTATAAAGCATCCCACGAGTGCCTTTCCCATTTTTGCTTTTATTTTTGTTTAGCATCCTTGAGAGAAAAAAAAATCAAAACCTTTAAAGAAAATTTCCTTCTTCTTTTCTTGATTCAATTTTGAGAGTAAAAAATAATTTTAACAAAATAACATGAAAATTCCTTTTCTCATGAAAAATCTGATAGCATTAATGGGATAAATGTTAAGGCATAAAACATTTTCACATAAGCTCTCTTCTGCATGTCTTAAAAATTTCTCTCCTCCTTTTTTCATCTTTATTTTTATGTGCTAAAAACATGCATTCATCCATTCGCAAAATGCTTCAATGAAGAAAAAAATTCTTTATATCAAATTTGAATAGAATATTAACATATTTATGATGTTGAAAGGCATAAAAATGAGAGTGGCATGAAAGAGGAGCCCTTTTTGTGAGAGTGATTGTAAAATATATTCTTTATTCAGTGAAAAATTTATTTGAGCTTTTAAGGGAAAGTGAAATAAAATAAAGAAGAAAAATGTTTGTAGATGTGTAAAGGAGTTCAAGAATATAGAATATAAATGCACTATTTGGATGGAAGTAAACGATGTGTAGGGTTAAAAAACATTTTTCTTTTTAGACATTTTCAGACTTGTGAAAGTGACTCGTTAAGGCTCAGTAAATATATTTATTATAAATTTTATAATTGAACATGCTTTGTAATTGAAAAATGTATTTGTATGTGTCTTTAAAGTGCTTCTGAAAATCTTGTTGATGTGTTTAAAGAAATGATTTCTGTTCTCAGAGAAGTGTTTGACTCAGAGGTTTAATGGCGAAGAGCAGTGATGAAAGAATGTCATCTTAAATTACAGCAAATAATTTAAACGAACCGGATGACAGAGCCAGTAATATTTTTTAACAAACACTTAAAGCACCAATTTTTTTAAGTTCCATAAATTTAAAATTGTGTCCCTAAACCAAGTCATTAGCCATTAAGATTATCTATCAAAGATGACTACTTCAAAATCAATCAATCAATCAATCAAACTCCACATGGGAACATGGTTAAAGTAAGCAAGTATGTCAGAAGCGTTTTTTAAGATGTTTACATTTTTATTTGTTTGATAGCAGAGAACTTAAATTTTACAACCTTCTTTAAAGTTAAATAATTATTGATGAATGATTTAATAAATTTTTCAACCATGATATTAGCAAAGAGTGTTTGTCAGTTCTCAATTTTAACTTAAAGTTTTCTAAGATCTTTTACATCAGTGAATTCCAAACCATGCGTCGCGACACTTTGGTGTGTAGTCAGAATCTCTCGATGTCTTGCGAGAGTTCTCAAATGAAATAAAATTTTTGAATCTCTATCTCCACTAATGCGAACTTTATAGAAAATTACAAGAAATTGAAGTACACAGAATTTTCATTCTTAATCCACTTTATAAACTGAAATAAAAAATACCACACCTATCATAACTTTTGAGATGTCTCCAAAAAAAAATTTAAGTGTATAATCCGAAATCGAAGATTATCTACTCTAGAGAATCAGTACGAATTAAAGATTTGTGAATCTCGAGTTTTTAAAACACAAAAAAGTTGCTTTTATAGAGTAATTAGGAGTAAAAAAAAACAAATGACAAACCATTATTTCTTAAATATTTTAAGTCAGTCAATTGCTCGAGGGAACTTTGTCATAAAAAATAAATGAATTGGATAAAAAAATAAATGAATTGGATGAGATAATAGAGTTGACATAAATTTTTAAAGACGACATTGTTGCCTAGTTTTGATTAAAAAATGGGGTTTTTTTTTGTTGATGAATTGAAAGTTCTTTTTAAAGATTATTTGTTTAATGTTTCAGATTTTGTCGAATCAGCTGGAAACAATTCTCTTATAAAGATTCGACAGATTTGTTGCTATTTTTGTAAATATATGAAATAAATAGAAAGAACTTACCGGTATTGCTTCACACATATCGTAATCACTGAGTGAATTTTCCAAACATGTTGTAGATGCACCTAATTCATTCTGTAGAAAATCCGGTCGTGGTGGTGGCGGAATGTTAAAAACTGGTGGTGGTCCAGGGCCACATTCATCACATTCGAGTTCAAAATCAGATTCGTAGTACATTTCCTAACAGTCAAATCATTCAACAAACTTTGAAATTTTGTTTATATTTTAAAATTAAAAACCTCTTGGAATTGACGATAAGCATTCACAAAAAATTACTGACTGTTTCTTAATAAATAAATTTTCAGTAATTTTTTTTTGTCTTTTATTTCCTCATTATGATTTTTTAATGCTCAACTCGAGTTGTAGTTGATATTTTTTATATCAAAACTGCTTATTTTAAACCTAAAATGAAAAGAGTAAGAAAAAAAATGTAAGTAATTTGATGTATTAATTAACATTGATGATATTTCAATTTCTTATGCAATTTAGTATTGGACATATTTTATACTTCACTGAGACTAATACAGTCATAAGTTATAGGAACATTGGGAGTGTTTTAGAGATTGAGTGACGTAAAATTAATTAAGATTGCAAATCGTGATAAAATAAATAAAAAACTTCTCATGTTAGTGCCTCAAGCCTATTTTCTCTATTTGTTAATCAAGAAGATAAAAAATTGAACAAAAAATAAGATATTCGCAAGATTTGATGCAAAAGCAATACTTTTGACAAGCTGTTAATAGTGACAAAGTCTATAAATATTTCTCCCCTAACTAATATCTCAATCCCATCAAGACATAGAGACAGAGTAAGAGAAAAAAAATATATATTCAATGAAAGAAACCGCCAATTAACTTTATAACTTTATTTAAAATTTATAGGCACGGTCGAGTCAGTTGTGTCGATGTGAACATTCACATATTTATATTGGCAACAGTCAGGTAAGGTAAAAATATATAATTTATTAGTTTGCAAACGATTTTAACAATTTTTTTGACCAACTTGATGAAAGACCACAATGTTACATAGTTCAATAATAAAATGCAAATTAAATTTGATATACTTGATAAAGTGAATAAAATGTTACAATAACAATAAAAAAAAGTTTTCTGACGATTATGCAAGATTAAGTTTTTTGTTTGATACAACAAATCTATCAACAGTTTAAACTTTTATGATAAATCATATATGTCGTTTTTCATTAATTTTAAAATATCTCTTAATACGTTCGTGTCTTTATTATATTAACAACGACCATTGAATGAGATTTCAATTCAAATTTATTTATGACTCAATAGACATCATAATAAAAATGGATAAAGCAAGAAGAAAGAATTTTAATAATAGCAGGAGACTGTAAACAAGACCACAACTACATTTTAAATTTTATTGCATTTCGCATATTAGTGAATTTAAAAGTGAAAGTTTAAGTTTCTACTGTCTATGATTGAGGAGGTCTATACTGTGAGAATATTAACAAGACCTTTTTATGCTCATGAAAAATAAAATAAAACTGTCTTACCAACTAGGTGAATGTGTAAAAAGAGTTAAAATCTATTAAGTTTTATTTCAATTAAAACAGCTTTTATTATTTGTAGGAGAATATGGATTAGCATTGAAGGAATGGTAACTTATAAATGAACTGTTAATTAAGTGATCAATATTTTTGATATACATAATCACATGTAATTCAAGTCATGATTAATATCAAACTTGATGATCTGTTAATTTAAATCTTATCTTGCATTGAAAAGCCTTCATCACAAGAAAAAGTGGAACTAACAAGCATTAATAAAATAGTCGTATGATGTCAAACCCCTTGATTGCCTTAATAACTTCAGCAGCTCATGTAAAATAACATTTCAACTTTTTTCATAAAACAAACGTGTTGGCTTTAAGAGAAAATTATTAAGTCACCGCATAGGCTAAGAAATAGCAAAAGCGTAGAGGTGAATGAATAATTTGATTGAAAAATTAAATAGAGATATAGACAATTACAAAATTATATTGTTACATAAAATTATATGAAACATAATGCAAATATTGCAATTTGACTGCAGTTTGACTTCTCAATTAAGCAAAGATCATTGAAAATTGATTTGAATGGATGCAAAATTAAAAAACAATGTAAATAGAAAAAAATGAAATTGAAAGTTTCGTAACAGTGTCACGAAATTGTAATGAAGGAACTATGCTTTATACCATCCCATAAATGGAGCTGCTGATCTCTCTGTCTGTGAATAATTTTCAATTTAAAATCTTTCTTTGTGAAATCGGTTTGAACTTTTGACATTAATACATTTCAGCAGTTTTCTGCCTTGTATTTATATAAATTCTAATACAATTCATTTCTGACCGATGAAGCTTCGCAATCTTCAAATATAGTTTTTATTATTAAGGGAAATAATATTAAGATGAAAAAATTTAAATATTTGATGATGATGAATAAAAAAGTTTCACATTATTATTAGAGTTAATTTATATTCACGTCTTTTTTTCTTCTTTCTTCTTTGTAGTTTTCCTTTTGGTTTCTTTTTTCGATTATTATTAGTTCACATTCATCTTTCTCATCATTCTCTTTAAGTTGCTGCTGCTTGCAGCTTCAAGCATGTTCGATCAATTTTAACATATTTTCTCTATATACTTCCCGCCACAAACTTATACTTGCTTCTGCTTTGAGAATTCCGAAAAGATATCTCAGTCTTTCCTCTTCTTTATATTGCTACATATGTACAAAAAATGAAAACTAATGAAATTAAAAAAAAAAACGAAAAATACAACAGCGAAGAGAGATTGAGAGGAAGGTATAAAATGATGATTTCTTCATTAATGCCTTGAATACGTTATTATCATATCACATTGAATAAATTCTTTCTGGATTTGAGTTTCTTGTTCAAACTAAACCCGGGTGGACACAGCCAGTTAAAGTCCATTATTGGACAATCATTTAACAGTCTTTTAACTTGTCAAAATATATACGACATAGAGAACTATACGTTAACTAGACTTTAACTGGACATTTATGCTAATCAATCAAGTGTTCGAAACTCAAAAATAATTTTCCTTACTTTTTTGACCATATACTTCACAAGCGCTTACAGAAATCACTTATATAAGGTCTACCAAAATTTGTATGAAACTTTTAAGTAAATATAATTGTTTCACGCGCAAGTGTTCGAGACTCAATTTTTACTAGAGATTTTTCATAAGTGATAGTGTACTTTAATTAAATAATTACACTAATACAGTAATAAAATTTTACAAAAGAAAAAAATATGGAGAAAAAGACACGTGTTATTTATTTTATTTCGATTTTTTTGTAACTGGACATTAACTAGACATATTTGCAATTCCTATGTCCAGTTAAATGGAAAGCGCAAAATATGTCATTAGTCGTCCCTAAGTCTAGTTGCAAAGACACGTCAATGAATACTTACTCGCCGTGAAAAGGCAAGTCAATGGCAAGCTTTTAACTAGTACTTTGTCCACTCGGGAAATTACATATACTTGAACTGGTAAAGGTGAAATCTTTTTTTTCTTTCTTCTCCTCGTTGTTATTATTTAGTAACTAAGAAAGTGAGCCACAACCTTATCATCGCAAAAAAGCAGCCTTTTTATCTGAATTGGTGTTCATAAAACTATAAATGTTCATTTTATTGATGCAATAACATCCAGCGAGTAGTTGCAATTCAAATTAAAAATATTCAAAATAAATTTGTGACACAACTGGACAAGACCGAAACTATAGAAAAATTTATAATTCTCTAGTTTGAGAAAACTAATAATATATTGGGTTTACACCAGTAAAAAGTTTTTAAAATAATTTTGTCTTATCTAATTTTTCTTTGTTCTTTCCGGTTTTTGATTTTTCAATTCCACAATTTTCGTCAGTAAGTGTCAAACAAGAGATATAAAATAATTATATTCTAATTTTAGAAATAAATTGATTCTGACTAATGAAAACCAAAAATGTTTTTAAATAATGATTCATCCTCCTGTTTTAATCATGAAATGAATTTAATGACTATAGTGGAAAAATGAAGAAATGTTCTTTACTTCCAAAAAAAAAACAAGACATTAAATAAAATTGCATCGAAAAAAAAGAGAATTGCTTAATACAAATAAGAAAGAAAGAGCTGAAAGGGAAACGTGTCTGTTTGAAGTAATAATAATTATCGTTAATATTTTTGTTTTAAATTGAAAACGATTTTTAAGTTTTTCTCTTAGTTTTTTTTTGTTTTCAAATGCAGCATACAGTTATAAAAATCTTTTATGCATTTTTGGTTTGTGATGTTGCAATAATGATAACTCTTTGAAGTTTGTTTTATTTTAAATGATTTTCTTTCTTTTCATCGCCTCTCCCTCTCAACAGAAAATTGATGATGCTGAATAAAATTTTTCTGAAATTTCAATTGAGGTCTGGACATACGGCTGAAAAATATTTGAATAAACTTTATTCTTTTAAATGTTTTTTGATGATTTTTCTTACTTAATAAAAACATATAATATCAGGTATGATATTATTGAATTGATGTATAAATAATATATTAAAAACTACACGAGAGAGGAACCAAATGAAAAAAGAGAAGAAGGGAGAACTGAAAAGAATCAAAAAATCAATTTCAATAAATTTATATAAATTTACTATTCAGATCAAAAAGAAATTTTTTCCACATCAAAAAACATAAATTTCATTCCGTTTTAATTTTTTTCTTTCATCGTCGTCTGTTTGAAAAAAAAATCAGCTTTTTTTATTTTTTTATTTCCATTTCTTAAGTTGTTATCATCATCTGATGAGTATTGCTGCTGCAAAAAATACGACAAGACACAAAGAGACTTTATTAACTTGAAAAGAATTTTGATGAGCTAATACGTATCTATCTGCCATTAAAAAATGTAAAAAAAAGTTTGAATTATTTTAATTTTTTGATACACAAATGATTTCAACGTGGAAGTCAGAACCTATTAATGTATTGAATTTCAATGTATATCGCTTCTTTTTAATCAAGCTTTTGTCCTTCTGACGAAATCAATAAATTTTACAGTAAACATATTCATATATAAAATACCATCTTATTTTTTTGCTGCTCATTGCTCATTCCTTTTTCATTTCAACTTTTTTAAAACTGCTTTAATTGTGCTGTAAAGGTAAGCACAAAATCAGAACAGCTTTGTTT